TGAAAATTTGAGTGAAATCCGTCGGAAATTTTTTGAGAAATTGACGTTTTAGTGACGTTATGTTCGCCATTTTCGCCTTAAAAACGGCAAAATTTCAAACGCCGCTAACATCTTCATTTTTAATGGAATCAAGACGTAATAAAAAGGTTATACGTAATTCTGCTTTGTCTATCAAATAGCTATCTCGGTTTTGTGAAAATATTGGATTTTGACCCAAATATTAAAAAAACTAACCTTTTTGAAAAATAATTATAAAATCCAAAATTTTGAGTGTATCGAAAAAAAACAGAATATATATATATATATATATATATATATATATATATATATATATATATATATATATATATATATATATATATATATATAAGAGAAGTGGTCTATGTGCACCTACATGCCAATTTTTAGAAGAATCGGTTAAAAAATGTGGGAGTTATTAAAAAATTTATGACGTCGCGACACACAAAAATTTTGAAAAATGATTTTTTGGAAGTTCTAGACCTCGTACGGAAACAGAAATAGCACCATTCGATTTGCCGTGAAAAACTGCATCAGATAGACACCTTTTTAAGCCTTAACAACCAACTTCAAAATTTGACCTCACTTGACCTGACCTTGACCTGACCTCGACCTGAAATTCATCCAGAGGTGGTCCATATCACTTATTGAGTGTGCCTATTGAATTCTATGAGTAAAATGACCCATAAAACATGTGTCGCACATGCCCTTTTCTATATTTTGTTTTTGGTGACCTGATCTGACCTGACCTGACCTTGACCTTGACCTCTGAATGATATTGTATGCAACGAATATTGTCTTGGTAGCCTAAGAACACGTTTTGGGCAATCAGTCTCAGTCCATGACTCCATTCTTCGGCAACTACGGTGCAAGGCCGATACTGTAGAAACTTGCAATTTGTACCCTTGACCTGACCTTGACCTTGACCTCAAACTTTAATAAGTACATGTTTTTAAAGTTATAAAGTACATGTTTTTAGTTGTTCGCGATGAGATCTTTCGATTGGCGTTTGAATTTTCCAAATCGGACCATTAGTTCGGGAGATAACAGGGGGGGGGGGGGTAAAATTTACCCCATCAGCCCCGCGCGTTCGGCTGGAGACCCCAGCCCCGCGCGGGTTAAAAAATCACATGAGACAAACACATACCCATACCCCTTGATCCTATCAATAGCAGTAAGCATTATTCAATTCCAAATTCTAGTCTCCAATGCTATTTTTGTGCCATTCTCAAGCCATTCTAGTTTCAACTCACGAAACGTCGTGCCAACAGGAATAAAGCCACCCCCGCAATGGTTAAACATATCTTTTGAAAAGGTTCCAAGCAAACGGAGCACAATGCATAGGGTGAAAGCACACAATGACGTACGGTGATCAAACAAAGATGACGTAGCGAGGTCAAGTATAGGTGATTCTGTGTGACACTTCGTGAACTGCATGGCTTTGTTGACATGAATTATTTTTACTCCATCTATCACATAAACAGATAGTTCATACTTTCCATTGACTTTTGCGTTTTCGGCTCGCGTTCTTTATTTCGCAAAATAAGGATTATTACAAAAACAGTTAAATGCAGAATAAAGGTTATCATGAGTCATGAGATGGTATAATATATGCTGCAATTCCTTGCTAGCCAGCATGCACATTGCACATATGCCTACGCTTGCAAACACCTACAAACAATACACAGACCCACGAGCCCGCACATCCTATCGCTATTACGCACCAATAGCAGGCACCAACGCCGCACGCGTATAATGCGCTGTTCCTAACTACCCGTTATGAATGACACATGAATAGCGATCCAACACACACCACTAACCCTTACATCCCTCCCCACACCCACCTACATACACCCTGTCCCGGCCAGTAACCTCCCAGTCTCGCAGCCCGAGCCCCCACCCAGGCGTCGTGTTCGATAACAGCTCTTCCTCGGCGGACAAATTGCCGCTCATGAGGCGACTATGTAATAACCGACGCCGGCAGCGGGGCTACACTATATGCAGCCGCTGCTCGGTGGGACAAGCGCCCGGCCGGCTGGCGCGATGGATCGGCGACATTTGTTACACGTGTGCTTCATTGACTTAGGAGCAATGGCGATGAACTGGTGAGGCTTGGTGCTGCAGTGCGTGCAGTGGAATTATGCGGCTCGCTTTACTGAGAATGGGCAGTGGAGACGGAATCGGAACTTTTCGTGAGTGCCAGAAATATGAGCGGTTTTAAACAACGCCGCTTGATGGCCATTATTGGAGCTGGAATTTCCGCTAGGATACTGGTGTTGGTTTTACTTTCAGCACAATTTTGCTTTGCAATTCATCAGTCATTTGGTAGCGGTAGATATTCCAAAGCACACCACGTCATATACATATATTGAAAAATGAGCACCACGTTTATTTAGGTATAACAGTGCCGTTCACCGATAAGATAAATGTTTTTACGGCGGTTTAAAGCTAGCACATCCATGCACATATGTACCTACCAGTATAGCGCCAGTATATAGGGCCTTGATAGCGCCTTTTGGGGCGACTAACGGAGCGAGCGAGAGGGTGAGCCTTGCACGTGCGAAATTTCGAGGGGGTACCTCCAACTGACTTGTGCACGGCACCCTACTAACCGGTCTCTAGCGATGTGCCAAATTTGAGCACAATCGGCCCAGCCGTTCTCGAGATCTGGAAGCGGCACCCTGCACGTGCGCACGTGCAGAATGGGTCCCAACTGACTTGTGCACGGCAGTGGCACCCTACTAACTGGTCCCTAACCGTGTACTAAATTTGAGCGCCATCGGTCCAGCCGTCCTCGAGATCTGGAAACGACCCCTGCACGTGCGCACGTGCAGCAGCACCCCAACTCTGGCACATGGATATGCAGTACCTAGTGGGTGCCTACCTACATGCCAAATTGCAGCGCAATCGGCCAAGTAGTTACCGAGATATTGCAACAATTACAAAACTGACACCTCTTCGTTTTGCGCGTGGCACGTGCATAAGGGGTCACCCACATGCATCGGGAATAGTCCAATACTTTTTAGAAGGAATGAAGCTACCCTACAAAAATTACCCCGTGTAAATCGGTCAAGTGGTTGCTGAGATATAAGCCTCGCAAAAGCGTCCGCACGGCCGGCTGGCCGCTCATACTCAGAAATTTCCGTTAATCTAAGGAAAGACTACGCTCGCTTCGCTCGCTCCGTAAACCAGTATAACGCCTTTTGGGGCGACTAACGGAGCGAGCGAGAGGGTGGGCCTTGCACGTGCGAAATTGCGAGGGGGTACCTCCAACTGACTTGTGCACGGCACCCTACTAACTGGTCTCTAGCGATGTGCCAAATTTGGGCACAATCGGCCCAGCCGTTCTCGAGATCTGGAAGCGGCACCCTGCACGTGCGCACGTGCAAAATGGGTCCCAACTGACTTGTGCACGGCACCCTACTAACCGGTCCCTAACCGTGTACCAAATTTGAGCGCCATCGGTCCAGCCGTTCCCGAGATCTGGAAACGACCCCTGCACGTGCGCACGTGCAGCAGCACCCCAACTCTGGCACATGTATATGCAGTGCCTAGTGGGTGCCTATACCTACATGCCAACTTTCAGCGCAATCGGCCAAGTAGTTACCGAGATATTGCAACAATTACAAAACTGACACCTCTTCGTTTTGCACGTGGCACGTGCATAAGGGGTCACCCACATGCATCGGGAATAGTCCAATACTTGGTAGAAGGAATGAAGCTACCCTACAAAAATTACCGCGTGTAAATCGGTCAAGTGGTTGCTGAGATATAAGCCTCGCAAAAGCGTGACCACGGCCGGCCGGCCGGCCGCTCATACTCAGAAATTTCCGTTAACTAAGGAAAGACTACGCTCGCTTCGCTCGCTCTGTAACAAACATCTCTATTGCTCTTTGATCTCTCTTTCTCTCTCTCTCTCTCTCTCTCTCTCTCTCTCTCTCTCTCTCTCTCTCTCTCTCTCTCTCTCTTTCTCTCTCTCTCTCTCCCTCTCTCTCTCTCTCTCTCTCTATCTCTATCTTTCTCTATTACTCTTTCTCTCTCTCTGATCTCTCGCTTTTTTCTCTCTCTCATACTCTCTATCTCTAGCTCTCTGTGTCTCTCTGTGCTCTCTCTTCCCTCCCCTCCCTCCCTCCCCCCCCCCCCTCTCTCTCTCTCTCTCTCTCTCTCTCTCTCTCTCTCTCTCTCTCTCTCTCTCTCTCTGCGAGGGGCTGGTCGCGGGACAGTCTCCTACACACACAGTACAGACTCGCTATAGATAACGAACATTTGGAGAGTCCGGCTGTCCTGTGGCTCAGCTCGAGCGAGAGTGAGCTATGGTAGCGCCAGTGGCGCGGGAACTTCTTCCAGACTGGGGGGGCTGAACCATCATAGAGATCAAGCTAGGGTACTCCCAAATCTAGTTTTCTCATCGGTTTTAGGCCACTTATTTTTCAGACCTTGGCCTTTTCAACGAAAAAAAAAGAAGAAAATATTTGCAAAAAAAGTGAGGTATTCCGTCTCAGCTGAGTGAAGAAACTACCGTTTTGGCAACCTGGAATAAAGGTTTTAAGCTGTCAAATGAGTTGCCGAGTCAGTAAAATAGGTAGATTTTTCACTCACATGCTTTCTTCCTTTGTGACTCACAACCCCTAATTTGGGGAGGACAAGCTGCCCCAACGGTTCCTGGCCTCATGAAAAGTTGTGAGGCACCGCCCCCACGGCCCCAGAGTTGTGAGGGCAAGCTTCCCTCACTGCCCTCTCCCCCGGTTCCCGCGCCTATGTATGAATCTATGAAATTGTGTTGGTAGATTTCCGATTTCGATTCTTCCAGCTGGGGGGGCTCAAATACATTACGAGCCCCCCCAGCCGAAAAGTTGGAGGGGCTCAGTCCCCCCTAGCCCCCCCGGTTCCCGCGCCACTGGGTAGCGCTCCTGCATGCGGTGAGTCATGTGACGTCACATAATGAGCTAACTGGGTGAGTGAACACACCGGGAGTGAGCGTCTCACAGTGAGACGAGCTCCAGCTGAGCCAAATGGCTGCCACAGCAGACAGTGGGCGAATGCCAGAGACAAGGAGACACAAATGCACTCTGACTCTGACCAAAAATGAATTTCATGCCGTGCGAGCTCTTGAGCTTTACAGCTGGCGCTCTTCCGGCACACTTTATTTATAATATTGTGATTTTTACCCCACTCTAAGGAGCAGTGTCGCCTTACTTTAACCGAAATGAAGGAAAGGTTGGTTGAGTGCCCGACGTTGCTGCTTCACTGCTGAAGCTCACAGGTCAGTTGGAGCCCGACTGCGCCTACCCCTATACCCCTCCCCCATTCCGGTCATTCCAGTGAGCTGTCGGCCAGGAGTGGGTCGCAGGAATGCTGAGCCGACCCGTAACCGATCCAGCCGTGTACCGTGTCGGCGCCACATTTTACTGGCACAGAACGACACAGAATACTGGTGTGTTCGTGTCAGAATCAGATACTTGGCCAAGAGCAACATCAGGCCCGGAGGATTTTGAAACATGCAAGTGTCGACGTTATTAATGGAAGGTGACTGGACTGTAGCTGAGTTACGGGCGCTGCAATAGTCATGCAAGATTTGAGAGCCAGGAACTTTGTACGGAATTAAAGCGTCACAAATGCAGCGCAATACCTTATGAAAGACACCCAAATGTGTAGGAAAAGTCGTTTTGGTGATCGTTGAAATTGTTTAATGTATTTTCTGGATGTATGTTAACTGTTATAACGTGAGCTCTTTATTCACAACCAAAGCCGCATTGCGTTAAACTCCCTAGAGCGCCAAACACCGATCGCTACTACCACAACCGCGCTCCGCGCGGGCCGGCGGCCGACTGCTCACGAACCCCGCGTCTGCGCGCCGGCGCCGCCAATGGCGTCGCCAGGCCCCCGGGCAGGGGGGAGCAACTGGCGTCGCCAGGCCCCGGGGCAGGGGGGGAGCAGCTCGCGACACCACACCCTGCCGCCCTTAAAACGGAACACATTCACTTTAACCTGCCGCCCTTAAAACGGAACACATTTTAAACCGGAACGTGGAAACAAACACATTACGCGTCGGAACGTGGAAACAAACACATTACGCGTCGGAACGTGGAAACAAACACATTACGCGTCGGAACGTGGAAACAAACACATTACGCGTCGGAACGTGGAAACAAACACATTACGCGTCGGAACGTGGAAACAAACACATTTTAAACCTCGGCGATCAGTCGCCTCGGGCACCTCCGGCGTCAAACACATTTTAAACCTCGGCGATCAGTCGCCTCGGGCACCTCCGGCGCCGAGCGGAACGGCGTTGCGAGGGGCCCTCAGTGTCCCCGCCGCCCCTGCCGCCGCCGTCACCGCCACCGCCGGTGTGACTGTAGCCGCTGAGGTCACCGGTATCACCGCCGCCGCCGAGGTCACCGGCACTACCGCCGCTGCTGACGGCATCACCGCCGCCGCTGAGGTCACCGGCACTACCGCCGCCGCCGGGGTCACCAGCACGGCCGTAGCCACCGGGGTCACCGGCATCCCCGCCGCCGCCGAGATCACCGGCACGGCCGAGGCCGACTGCTCCCCGGTCACAGGCCTGACCGGCGACGCCGGCGCGGCTGCCGTCACCGAGGCCATTGGCGCGATCGTCTCCGACAGGGCGCCCGGCGCTGCCGCCGGCGCCACCAGCCCGGTCACCGCCGGTCGTCGCTCTGACGTCACCGCCGGTCGTCGCTCTGACGTCACCGCCGGTCGTCGCTCTGACGTCACCGCCGGTCGTCGCTCTGACGTCACCGCCGGTCGTCGCTCTGACGTCACCACTGGTCGCCGCTCGGACACTACCGCCGGTGGCCGCTCTGACGTCACCGCCGGCGCTGTTCCCTGGGTCCGCCGCCGCCGCCAACAGCTGGTCAACGTGGCGCGACCAGATCACGTGTCCCACGTCCACTTCATACGACACGGGACCGGGGCGGGCGACCACCGTGCCGCGGACCCACTTCTGACGACCGTCATACGAGCGGGCCCACACTGTAGCTCCCACGGCGAATTCCCTGCTCCGTCCGCCGGCCGTCTCACGCTGCCGGTCCCGAGCCGCCTGAAGAGCTGTCTCGGCGCTCGGAACCATGAGGTTCATACGAGTGCGGAGGTTCCGCCCGAACAGCATCTCAGCGGGAGTCCGTGCGGTCGCGGCGTGGGGCGTCACTCTGTACGCCATCAGAACTCGGGCGAGCGCCAGTTCCATGCCTCCGCTGTCGTCTGCTGCCAGAGTCGCCTTCAGTGAGTTTTTTAGCGAGCCGACCGCTCGCTCCGCCATCCCATTAGACGATGGGTGATGGGGCGCCACTCTGACATGTCGGATCCCGTTAGAGCTGGCGAACTGGGCGAATTCCTGGCTCGTGAACTGTGGGCCATTGTCCGTTACCAGCACCAGTGGTAGTCCGAGACGAGCAAAAACCGTCCTCATCACCGCTACGGTCCGCTCGGACGTGGTCGTCTTCATTGGGATCATTTCAGCCCACTTGGAGAAACTATCCACCATCACCAGGAACCAGGTGCCCTTCAGAGGTCCGGCAAAATCGGCATGCACCCGCTGCCACGGGCCGTCCGTCGGCTCCCACGGGTGCCGTGTCGCCTGCGGCGGCTCAGCTCGCTTTGAGACGCACGCCTGACACCCGCGAGCCAGCGCCTCCAGCTCAGCATCGAGTCCCGGCCACCACACAAAGCGCCTCGCCAGCTGCTTCATGCGAGTGCAGCCGAAGTGACCCTCATGCAGCTCCCGCTTGACGGTGTCGCGCAGGCTGCTCGGGATGACGACTCGGCCGCCCCAGAGCAGACAGTCGGCCTCAGTCGTCAGCTCCTCTCGGCGATTCTTGAAGGGAGCCAGGTCCGGGTCCACCACCGCCGGCCAGCCCGATCGCACCGCCGCCAGAGCGCGGGCGAGCGCCGGGTCTCGGCGCGTGGCCACTGCTATCTGCTGCGCGGTCAGACACGGCCCCTGCTCGGCGATGAACATTACGGCGCCTCCGCCGTACGCCGCCTCCTCTTCTGCCGACAGCCGGTTCTCCGCCTCGTCCGGCACCGACAGACGGGACATCGTGTCCGCCAGCCTCATGTCCTCCGTCCGGCGCAGCTCGATCTTGTACTGATACGCCGCGAGCTGCAGCGCATACCTTTGCATGCGAGCCGCCGCCAGAGATGGCAGCTCACGGTCCGGGTTTAGGATCCTGGAGAGCGTCCTGTTGTCGACCACCAGGGTGAACGGCCGACCAAACAGGAACTGGTGGAACCGCCGCACTCCGAACGAGACGGCTGCGGCTTCCCTCTCCACTTGGGCGTACTTCCTCTCCGTCGGAGTGAGCGTTCGGGAGGCGTACTGTACCGGCCTCTCGAGCCCCTCGGGCGTCACTTGCATCAGAGCCGCTCCGACTCCTGTCGCACTGGCGTCCGTGACGAGCCGCAGCGGCAGCACGGGGTCGTACCGCATCAGGACCGGCGCCGTGGACAGCATGTCCTTCACACGGCGCACTGCCGCGGCGCACTCCGCCGTCCATGCCCATTTGACGCCCGTCTTCAGTAGCGCGTAGAGCGGCGCTAGCACGGTAGACAGGTTGGGCAGCAGCCGCTGATAATAGCTGACTGACCCGATCAGAGATCGCAGCTCCTGCACGTTCCGAGGGTCAGGTGCTGCTGTGACGGCCGCCGTCTTCTCTTGCACCGGGCGCAGACCCGCCTCAGACAGTCGCCAACCGAGATACACCACTTCTCGGACTCCGAACTGGCACTTCTCTTTCTTGAGGCGGACGCCGTTGTCCTTCAGCCGCTCCAGCACCCGGTCCAGCCTGTCCATCAGCTCACGGTCACTGTCGGCGCCGATCAGCACGTCGTCCAGGTAACAGACGACTCCTGGAAGACCATCCAGCACCTGGTCCATGATCGCCTGGAACTGCGCTCCACAGGTGCTGATCCCGTACGGGAGACGGTTCATCCGCATCGCACCACGGTGTGTGGTCACGGTGGTCATCTCTCGGCTCTCTTCGTCCAGCTCACACTGGAGATAGGCGTTCCTGCAGTCCAGCTTGCAGAACTTTTTCCCTCGTATGCTGGCGAATAGCTCCTCCGGCGTGCGCATCGGATACTTCAGAGGCTGCAGCTGCGGGTTCACCGTGATCCGATAGTCCGCGCACAGCCGCACGCCGTCCTTCTTGGGGATGGGTACGAGCGGCGTACCCCATCCGGAGAAGTGTCCAGGAGGCACCTTCTCGGCGATCCCTTGATCCAGCCACTTGTCGAGCTCCCGCTCGATATCTTGCTGTAGCGCAAACGGCACCGGTCTGGCGCGTCGATAGACCGGTTTGGCGCCTTCCTTCAGTCTGAGCGCCACCTTCACCGGGATTCTGCCCAGTTCTTCTTTGAACACCTCACGGTGTTTGTCCATCACCTCCTTCAGCGTCGGCTGAGTCGCCACCGGGCACACGTTCAGCGTCTCCAGACCCGACGCCGTCCTCAGCGCCTTGATCCACTCTCGTCCCATGAGAGGTCGGTGAGAGCCCATGTCGGACACGACGAGTCGCAGCCGTGTCGCTCGGCCGTCCGTCTCCACGTTGACGTCGGCCTCGCCTCGCAGACGGATTTGCTGGCCGGTGAATGACGTGAGGTGCAGCTCACTCGGCCGCAGCGTCAGACCGGGGATGTGAGTCTCCGCGCTGATTATAGTCACCGGTGAGCCAGTGTCGATCAGCATGGTGAACTCCTGGCCGTTCACCCTGACCGTCGCCCACTCAGCTGCGGCTGGCTGCACGGCGCTGACTTGCCAGTCAGCCTGGTCGCCGTCCTGAACCAGCTTCACGCCAGTTCGCTGTTTGCCGCAGTCACGCTGCAGATGCCCACGCTCTCCGCACCGATAGCAGCGCGGCGCGCCGGCCCGCCATGGCCGCGCGCCGGCCTGCCGCGGCTGCCCGCTGTCCTGCCGTGGCTGCCCGCTGTCCTGCCGCGGCTGCGCACCGTCCTGCCGCGGCTGCGCACCGTCCTGCCGGGGCCGCGCGCCGGCCTGCCGCGACTGCGCGCTGGGACAGTGGCGCCGCCAGTGGCGTCGCCAGGCCCCCGGCAGGGGGGGGAGCAGCTCGCGACACCACATTAACAAACATGACATTATTGAGCTCTTGGTCCATGACAGAATAATGCCAATATAAAAGTAGCTTTATGTAACTAACCATGCTTGATTATTTATTTATAATTTGTCTTCTAAATAGCGCGATATTTCGGAACACTGAGCAACACTTCCCCAATAACTCATTTGGTGAAATCCTCCGAACTCTCGCCATGTGACGTGACAGCGACTTCGTTCCTTATCGTTGAATAATGAAAGAGTGACACTTGTTGCTCTTGAGCCGTGCATTATCCCATGGGCTGCTGCTATATAGCATGAGCCCTGCAGCCATAAGAGCATATCAGGGATATACCATAAAAAGGCCACTTAAAAACGCCAGTAAACCATTTCACCGCAAGGGAAGTGAACAATGAACATGGTCAATAGTCAGCGACCGCCGACCACTGACTACTGACCAGTGAGCAGTGACCAGTGACTACTGACTACACCGACCACTTTCGGAACCATGGCCTGGTGGGCGAGCCTTGCCGCGGCGCGGTGGCCGGCAGCCGCCCGCTCGACTTGTTACCGGATCTACTACACGGCTCCCTGTGGCACTGTTAGCTGAGCTTTATTGGCGGCCAGCAGTCTCTTCCGGGCCAATTTTCGCAATAACACGTCAGCGCATCATCCGCCGGGTAGTTCCGTGAACGTAATGGTGAACCGGGGAGATAGTTTTCGTCCTGAGACGATCGCTCGTGCCGGTACAACGAACAAACGATACATGGCCAATGGGGAGGTTTATGTAACTATTGTTTCTTACTTTTATGCTTTCCAATCACCCAATAATCTAATTATCTAACCTTAAAAATTGTTTGCGAACATAGTGACGTCATCGATGAAAGTTCAGTGAACAAACGCCGAGCAGTTAAGCCGCATTTTCTTGCCGTTTTTGGGCGCTGCGGGGGGCATTTGCCCTAAATGCCCCCTGGATCCGTCAGTGATTGCACCCCCCAAATCTGTCTCTCTTCCACTGACCATTTGTCGATCAGCGATATCGTGGGATGAACGTTTATGGTAACGGCAACTCTCCCCGACAGAAGCGCCTTCCGTTCCAAGCACATTATTCTCGCGCTTGTCCAGATTGTTTTGTCACCACGTGAACACACAGTCTCACCGCCCAGCCAATCAGTGACTGGACGGGTGGTTGTCGTCCCGTTTTCCCAGCACGGATTGAGACGCCAGGCGTCACCTCTGACCCAGCGGCGACGGCTTCTCAACTCTCCCGCGTCGGGGAACATCTGGCCCTCGAGCGCGAGGGGGCGGGAGGGGAGGGGAGGGGTAGGGGCGGCCAGAGGGGCCGGGGGCTTCAGTTACATGTGATCACTGGGGGAGTGCGGTTGGTACGCGGAGTTGGCAGTGCTGCGAGGGAGGATTGTGTTCCAGTCGCGCTGGCCTCGTGTGGTGCCGACCTGGGTGCCGACTGCGTTCCCAGTGACCGTCGACCTGGCCTGGACTCGGCGGCTGGAGAACGCTACGCTGCAGTCTGCTGAACTGGTGTTGGCGAGGAAAGCCCCTAATCTGGGACCAACAGTGCCTGGTGTCATGCTAGTTGTTCGATGGGGTAGCCGTGCTAAAAGATAAAATCGCACATCGATAGATCATCGGACATCCAAAGCCGGCCATCGTCAACAGGTAAGCATGGCGACCGCTTTTCGGTCGCCAGCTGTCTTCTACCCGCTTACCACCCCCTCCCTAGTCCTCACGCCCTATGCTTTTGTCTTCGGTCGTTTTTGCCTTTTTTTGTATAGTGCATGCCCATTACCTACCTACCCATTACCCTGTACCAGTACCCAAGTCTCTATATCGTTTACCTATCCCCGGCAGCTTAGAGTAGTGCGCAAATCCGCTATTTCCCTCAAAGACGGCGTCATCAAATTAAAAATCACCCCATCTTAGGTTAATTTTGTGTGCGAAGTTATGCGGCGCCGTTGAACATTGCACCCATATCCGTAGAAACATGCTGATGACGATTACACACATCACTTGTCTAGTCAGGCGCGCAAGGCACCTATTATAGGTGCTACGCGGTCACTAGTTTTCAACATTAGACATTTTTGGCCATCAGTCTCTCGCTTTGAGCGCCACGATATTTTCCTAGATAGATATTCCGTGCGTCATTTGTCGAGCAAGGTTCCCCTTTCACTGACGCGCTCTGCATAATGCATACAGCAATATTGTTGGCAGGCGGGCCTGTTTTATAATGCAGTGCCCTCGTAGGAAGGGCGCCTCCTGTCTAGTTAATGCACACGTGCTGTCAGGGGAGCTAGGCCACTTGGGGCGGCGGGGACGCAAGCGTCGCCGATTAGCGACCGTTTTGTGTTATCGGGCCTCGTTTGGAATTGAGACAGACGGTGGCGCAATCTCAGATAACCGCACGATCCCGCTGCGTACTTATCTCGCCAAAAGACACCCCTGGGTGCCGTATACAGATACGCCGAGTTCTATTTTGTTTCTGTTTCCAAGATTATTAGCCGGAGCTCGTGGCCTGAGCCGTGTGAGAACGGTGGTGCGGTGACGTCCGTGGCCACTAATTAGCTGCTGATTGGATTCATTAGGCGGGTCGACGTGCGTCATAGACCTCTGTAGGTAGGTTGGCCTCAAACCGCGGTGTCGTGCAAGTCATATATTTGTTCCAGAAACAGGTTTCCGGTTTTTCTTGTTTTTGAATCAATCTTTGAACAAAACTTGACAGCTTGCGGCCTTGGTAGTTACCGGAATTGATCAAAGTGTGTTCATATCATTTTTGGTATCAAAACTTACTCAAACATTTTTTTTTCTGACTCAATGTTTAATTCCTTACAAATTTCTCATCGATATCAGTCACTCTATTTTTCCCGATTTTCGGAGACAGTTTCCAACTGATGACCTTCATTTTCAGTCGTAGAAAGCCCCACAGTGCAGCCTTCAGTGTGTTTCTCTGTGGTTAAACCCTACGTCAACGGCGGGTGTCCGCGGCCCGCAGTTGACTTCTCCCGCCCCTGTCCCTCGGTGACCGGTGCGTTAGAAGCCCCTCAAGCCCTCCGCCCGGACGTTTGCCGCAGAAGTCTGCGTCGGCTTTTGATGGGCTTCCGATAGGCCCGGCTTTTGGAGCGGCGTCGGCGGTGATACCTCGCTCCCCTCTCTGTCCCCCTCCCTCCCCTCCTCTCCCCGGTGCGCCCCGTCCCTCTCTCGGCCGCCATATGGTCGGCAGAGGGGAGTGGTCGCTTCTCGCCTTACTGACGCGTTCACGTGAGTCGTGAATGCTCTAGTCCCGCGGTCGTCTCGTCGGTGGTCTTCACGCAACTGGCCTAATTGATTCCTCCAACATTATCGGTTTTTGTTTGCTGTTTAAAACACACAAAAATAGGTTTGTTGATTTTTTGTATATGGGCATGATTTTGTTTTTAAACAATCGCGTACCTAGTCATATTTTTTTATTTCAGTTTTCTTTCCATATGCATATTCTTTCTCCGATGCTGCAGCATCCTCAGTCTTATATATGAGCAAACCATCGGTGAGTTTACTTTTCGTTCTTTTCCACCAACCCCAGGCTTCGAGGAGGGTCGATTCCCTTCCCTGGGTGCCTGCCGGCTCCCCTCCCGTTCACTCCTGGCTGTCAGCATCATATGCTGTCAGGGCTGGGGTGGGGTGATCCAGGGTGCTGGGAGGGATCCGCCGCCCCTGGCGAGACACCCTACAGACCTCCCCACAACCGGAAGTGCGCGAACCAGAGTACATGATCCCGCTTCAGAGTGACACGGGATGTTTTCGTTGGGGATGAGGCGGTCTCTGATCGACTTGTGATGGGTTAATGAACGTGAGAAGCTGAAATGCAAATGAATAATGATGTTCCTGCGGGTGTGGGGTTGGACTCGATTTCGGGCACGGATTGACTGGTGTGTTGACTGTTGAGGGTTGATCTTTAGCGTTCCAAAGGGATTGTCTATCTGGGGATCGACATGCATGCTTGTTGCATTGTATTACATCCCTTATAATCCCCCGTTACAAAAGCCTGCCGGGTGTAATTTGATCAATATTTACCCGGCTGATTATGCATGAAGAGCTGCGTCAATTTTAATTGCTAGATTTGGAGGCCGCTTTTATTCCTCCTGCTTTAGGTATGTGTTTTTGTTTCACTGCATAAGGTCATCTTTGAATAATGATCCTTCAAGACTTTATAATACATGGGAATCTATGCGGGTAACTTTTCTGTTGTCGAGTGAACAGCGCTTAGAGATACGAATTCAGCATGGTAACCAACCCTTATACCTGATCCCCTTGAATGGCTGACCTTTACCTTTAAATAGCCGGCGGCTATGCGGGTCGTTGCTATGCCCTAAAGAGTAATTAAACTGCTTATAACCATCTTATGTCCCGCCCACTATCCATCTGCTGATAACGGTGTAACCGAGCCCTAGCCGAGTCCACTATAAAGAGCCGTGTACTAGCCGGCATGAACGCCAGCGACATCCCTTTGCCTCGGACGGCGCCTCTGCCTCCGTTCATGTGCCTCTGTTCTTCCTCCATGTCCATTCCCCTGCCTCCGCCTCCCCATCCCTCCACAATCGCCTTCGTGCTCCCTGCTCCTTCTCCTTTACCATCCGCCTCCGCCT